AGAGACTGAAATAGGAGTGACGCGACCAGGTCATTCTCTTTAGTCCTGCTGGCAGTCCTATTGCACCATCTTCTGGCAAGCAGCCAGGAGATGAGGATGTCTAGCAGTCCTACTGTACCATCTGCTGCCAGCCAAAGATGTAAAAGATAGATGGAGTGGATCAAAGCAAGAAATACACCAGATTTGCTTTGTATTCATTTGCTCCCCCCCTCCCTCTGTGAAATCAATGGCTGACAATCGTTTTAGTGAGGTCTGTCGGGGCACCTTGAAAAGTTTAATGGAGATTCAGTCCTGCCTGAAATACCAGGGGGAGGGATAGCTCAGTGGGTTGAGCATTGGCCTGCTAAACCCAGGGTTTTGAGCTCAATCCTTGAGGGGGCCATTCTGTGTGACAGTTGTTTTTTTTTCTCCTTGATGTAAAGCCACCCCCTTTGTCGATTTTAATTCCCTGTAAGCCAACCCTGTAAGCCATTTCATCAGTCGCTCCTCCCTCCATCAAAGCAACGGCAGACAATCATTCCACACCTTTTTTCTGTGCAGACGCCACACCTGAGCGGCCTCCATGCTTGCCATGATCACTTTGGCAATTAGGAGCACATTAAACACCACACGCATTATCCAGCAGTATATGCAGTACCAGAAGCTGGCAAAGCGAAACTGGGCGAGTAGGCGACATCAGCGCGGTGAGAAGAGTGATGAGGACATGGACACAGACTTCTCTCAAAGCACAGGCCATGGCAATGTGGGCACCATGGTGCTAATGGGGCAGGTTCATGCTGTGGAACGCCAATTCTGGGCCCGGGAAACAAGCACAGACTGGTGGGACCGCATAGTGCTGCAGGTCTGGGACGATTTGCATGTGCAAGGGCACTTTCATGGAACTTTGTGACTTCCTTTCCCCTGCCCTGAGGCACAAGAATACCAAGACGAGAGCAGCCCTCACAGTTGAGAAGTGAGTGGCAATAGCCCTGTGGAAGCTTGCAATGCCAGACAATTACTGGTCAGTTGGGAATCAATTTGGAGTGGGCAAATCTATTGTGGGGGCTGCTGTGATGCAAGTAGCCAACACAATCAAAGATCTACTGCTATCAAGAGTAGTGATCCTGGGAAATGTGCAGGTCATAGTGGATGGCTTTGCTGCAATGGGATTCCCCAACTGTGGTGGGGCCATAGACGGAACCCATATCCCTATCTTGGTACAGGAGCACCAAGCCAGTGAGTACATAAACTGCAAGGGGTCCTTTTTAATAGTGTTGCAAACACTGGTGGATCACAAGGGACGTTTCACCAACATCAACGTGGGATGGCCGGGAAAGGTACATGGCGCTCGCATCTTCAGGAACTCTGGTCTGTTTCAAAAGCGGCAGGAAGGGACTTTATTCCCAGACCAGAAAATAACTGTTGGGGATGTTGAAATGCCTATCTGTATCCTTGGGGACCCAGCCTACCCCTTAATGCCATGGCTCATGAAGCCGTACACAGGCAGCCTGGACAGTAGTCAGGAGCTGTTCAACTACAGGCTGAGAAAGTGCAGAATGGTGGAAGGATGTGCATTTGGACGTTTAAAGGCGCGCTGGCGCAGTTTACTGACTTGCTTAGACCTCAGCGAAACCAATATTCCCACTGTTATTACTGATTGCTGTGTGCTCCACAATATCTGTGAGAGTAAGGGGGAGACTTTTGTGGTGGGGTGGGAGGTTGAGGCAAATCGCCTGGCCGCTGGTTACGTGCAGCCAGACACCAGGGCAGTTAGAAGAGCACAGGAGGGTGCGGTGCGCATCAGAGAAGCTTTGAAAACCAATTTCATGACTGGCCAGGCTACAGTGTGAAAGTGCTCTTTGTTTCTCCTTGATGAACCTCCCCCTACTTGGTTCACTCTGCTTCCCTGTAAGCTAACCACTCTCCCCTCCCCCGTTCCATCACCGCTTGCAGAGGCAATAAAAGTCATTGTTGCTTCACATCCATGCATTCTTTATTAATTCATCACACAAATAAGGGGATAACTGCCAAGGTAGCCCAGGAGGGGTGGTGGAGGTGGGAAGGACAAGGCCACACAGCACTTTAAAAGTTTAAAACTTATTGAATGCCAGCCTTCTGTTGCTTGGGCAATCCTCTGGGGTGGAGTGGCTGGGTGGCCGGAGGCCCCCCACCGCGTTCTTGGGCATCAGGGTGAGGAGGCTATGGAACTTGGGGAGGAGGGCATTTGGTTACACAGGGGCTGTAACGGCGGTCTGTGCTCCAGCTGCCTTTCCTGCAGCTCAACCATATGCTGGAGCATATTAGTTTGATTCTCCAGCAGCCTCAGCATTGAATCCTGCCTCCTCTCATCATGCTGCCGCCACCTTTCAGCTTCATCCCTTTCTTCAGCCCGCCACCTCTCCTCCCGGTCATTTTGTGCTTTCCTGCACTCTGACATTGTTTGCCTCCACACATTCGTCTGTGCTCTGTCAGTGTGGGAGGACAGCATGAGCTCAGAGAACATTTAATCACAAGTGTTTTTTTCACCTTCTAATCTTCACTAGCCTCAGGGAAGGAGAAGATCCTGTGATCCTTGAAACACATGCAGCTGGTGGAGAAAACAAAAGGGACAGTGGTATTTAAAAAGACACATTTTCTAGAACAATGGGTACATTCTTTCACAGTAAACCTTGCTGTTAACATTATATACAAAGCACATGTGCTTTCGTTCCAAGGTCGCATTTTGCCTCCCCCCACCACGTGGCTAGCCCCTCACCCCTCCCCGTGGCTAACAGCGGGGAACATTTCTATTCAGCCACAGGCAAACAGCCCAACAGGAACAGGCACCTCTGAATGTCCCCTTAAGAAAAGCACCCTATTTCAACCAGGTGACCATGAATGATATCACTCTCCTGAGGATAACACAGAGAGATAAAGAACCGATGTTGTTTGAACGCCAGCAAACATACGCTGCAATGCTTTGTTCTACAATGATTCCTGACTACGTGCTACTGGCCTGGCGTGGTAAAGTGTCCTACCATGGTGGACGGAATAAGGCTGCCCTCCCCAGAAACCTTTTGCAAAGGCTTTGGGAGTACATCCAGGAGAGCTTTATGGAGATGACCCTGGAGGATTTCCGCTCCATCCCCAGACACGTTAACAGACTTTTCCAGTAGCTGTACTGGCCACGAATGCCATGGCAAATTAATCATTACACACGCTTGCTTTTAAACCACGTATACTATTTAAAAAGGTACACTCACCAGAGGTCCCTTCTCCGCCTGGTGGGTCCGGGAGGAAGCCTTGGTTCGGGGGGTATTGACTCCAGGTCCAGGGTGAGAAACAGTTCCTGGCTGTCAGGAAAACCGGTTTCTCAGCTTGCTTGCTGTGAGCTATCTACAACCTCATCATCATCATCTTCCTCGTTCCCCAAACCTGCTTCCGTGTTGCCTCCCTCTCCATTAAAGGAGTCAAAGCACACGGTTGGGGTAGTGGTGGCTGAACCCCCTAAAATGGCATGCAGCTCATCATAGAAGTGGCATGTTTGGGGTTCTGACCCAAGCTCCTTAAGTTTCATGCAGCACTGCTTCGGATCCCTGTTATGGCCTCTGTCCTTCATGCCCTGGGAGATTTTGACAAATGTTTTGGCATTTCGAAAACTGGAACGGAGTTCTGATAGCACAGATTCCTCTCCCCATACAGCGATTAGATCCTGTTCCTCCCATTCGGTCCATGCTGGAGCTCTTTTGCAATTCTGGGACTCCATCATGGTCACCTCTGCTGATGAGCTCTGCACTCACCTGCCCAAACAGGAAGTGAAATTCAAAAGTTTGCGGGCCTTTTCCTGTCTACTTGGCCAGTGCATATGAGTTGAGAGTGCTGTCCAGAACGGTCACAATGGAGCACTCTGGGATAGCTCCCGGAGGCCAATACCGTCTAATTGTGTCCACAGTACCCCAAATTCGACCCAGCAAGGCCAATTTCAGCGCTAATCCCCTTGTCGGGGGTGGAGTAAAGAAATCAATTTTAAGAGCCCTTCAAGTCAGAAAAAAGGGCTTTGTTGTGTGGACAGATGCAGGGTTAAATCGATTTAACGCTGCTAAATTCGACCTCAACTCCTACTGTAGAGCAGGGCAAAGTTGACACTTGGGCTGACTGGATTAGAGAACATTTGGAGAGCAAATGACGCTTAAGACTAAAACAAGAAGGTGAAAATAGAAACAAGCAAACATTGGAATGAGCATTTGTTAGGGCACGGCAGAAAAAGCAAGAGCAACACGATGTACTAAGTGAATTTGTACATACCCGCTACTTTTCAGGGCAGCTGTAGGCCTTGTTGCTGGTCCTTTGGGGGACTTTGTATTAAATTTCTATCCAGCTGCAAAATCGTTGCCAAATTCAATCAATCTGACCAAGAAATATTTTGAGGAGAATGATGTTGCTCTGACCAACAAAATTAAAGAGAGGTTGGCTGGAAATATAGTTAGTTATTTGTTTTTTTACGAATCACCAGATGTTCTCAACTGCCCCACCCTGGTGATTTTGTTTTCATTTTTTTATTTTGTTGTGGAGAAGCCTGAACTCATTTAGGCAGATTTGGAGTTTGTAAAGTCAGCAAACAGTCAAACAGTTGCAGCTTGTGTCTGTAAAACTTTAAATGAATATGCAGTTACCTAGAAGGACATGGCAATAGTGAATTCCAACTCAGCTTCTTACTGCACAAAGTCCACACAAGATGTAAAGCTGAATGAAAAACCTGAATTGCTTTGTTTGTCTTGCCCAGCTCACATGCTGCACCTTGCTGTCTCTCATGCATCAGGTGTTCCCCAAATGGCTGATTTTAAAAAGTTTATAATAGATGCTTGTGCAGTTTTCAAGCATTCAAGTAAAACAAAAAAACTCTTCTATGATGTTTGCAAAGAGATGGTTTAGTCTGTATTTGGCTGCACAGAGTGTTCAGAAGGCATGGGGTATCTTAGTGCAACTTTTAGATCACAAAGTTCAACAGTGGAAAAGCCAAAAAGCTGAAATCTCAAGCAACTATGCAAGAAATTAGGCAAAACCTTCGAACAAAACTCGAACTCCTGAGTGAAACACTTCAGCCACTGCATGAAGCACAGAAGAAATTGGAATCCAATTCTTTAACAGATGGCACATTTTCTAATACAAAGGTATATGGCATCTGGCTAACAATATCTCTTCAAAACTTTCTCGCAAAAGTACATCTGGAGAGATTCCAGAAAAAAACAAATCTTTTCTCTGTGTTGCCAGTCACTGAGCAGGACAACTTACAGTCCTGGTCACTGCTGGGTGTATGCAGCCTCTTTTTGCTCACGGACCTGCTATTCTGGAACAATCACCCAGCTCAAATGCCAATCAACAATGAACAACAAAAGGAAGATAGCATGAAAGGGAGAAATTATGTACTGTGCAATTTACTATGTGTCCTAAAAGCATAGAGTAAAAGATCTCAAGTAAGTTTACTTAAGTTCCTGCTTATGAGAACAAAGACAAAAACATTAAAGGGGGAAAATAAAGCATAATCTTCTACTTTTATTAACAAGTACACCATGGGTATTGGCAGTGCAAGCTTCCCCATATTGTCCTACCAATGTTCCTCAAAGCTCGAGTTGGTGGGACCACCTTGAAGAATAAAAAAGGAATTCCTGCCTGATCAACCTTGACTTCTATTTTTAGAGTGCCAAAAAGGGCAGTGATTATAGCAGTGTATTTTAGTGCCAAGACACCTGTGTACTATAAACTAGACTGAGTCCCCCAGACCATTTCACATAGCCTCTACAACTATCCTATGGTAGTAAATTCCACTCACTACCAACCTAGGATGGATTTGAACTGGCTACTTACGGGTTCAGGGCTCTCTATTTTATTTGTTTACTTTAAAATTCTGCCCACCACAGTTGTTATTGGGTGCATGTACAAATATTAAAAACAATATTAGTATTAACTAGCAAACTTTAAAAGAAAATAGAACAAATATATTCCATTTTCACTCCCACCATGTTCCTACAACCAGATTCTGGCTCTGCCAAACCAAGGAGAGAAGCAAACTTTGACAAAGAAACGGAGCAGGTGGCAACAGTTTTGCTACCTACATCTCTTCTCTTTTGTGAGCCAACTCTTGAAGCCCCTTCCTTATTTTTTCCTTAGTTCTTTCTCATAAAAAACTCCCACTGACACCCATGGGAGTTCTGTCTGAATAAAATAAGGACTTCAGAATTTGGGCCTATGATAATTGGTACGTTGGTTGGAATCTCAGCAGAAAGGCCAAATATTAAATTTTCTGACATGGATAATTAACTTGGGTTTAGGCACACAGGAGGGAACCAGTGTAGATAGTTTTCACTACTGCAACAGTACTCTATCCTCTCTCTGGATAAACGGAAGACTTCATTTTCAGTGCTTTTAATAATGTACTTTTCACAAACGACAAAATTTACTTCTATATTTGAACAAATAACTCCTATGACATTAGTTCTTCTGCCAACGTTTTCAAAGCCTTCATTTAAATAGTTCAGATAAAGTGTAATTCCAGCAGTGTCAGTAACCAACCAAACAAAAGATGCTGTTTTCTATTTTTCCTATCAAGCCAACTGAAGCTTTAAAAAATGCTCTTTATTTGTAAGTTGTAAATGAAAAATTTATGATGACATTTATGAGTTAAGTTTGATTCTTTTAACTTCTTGGGTGCAGTAGAGATCATGAGGTGTCCTCAGTGGAAGCCAAATTGACAACTTTGTTTTGAGCCTGATAGCCACATCTTATTAACATAATTCATACTGTAACATGGAAGGCATCTGAAGGACTGAGGCAAGACCACATTGCCTAAAGCAGTCCAACAAAATTTTAATGCAGCCAGAGCCCTCACCCAACAGTGCCTGCCTCCCCTAGAGCTGGCCTCAGGCAGACCCACTCACCAAAGGAACACTTTGTTTCAGTTCTCATTCTCCTCGCCTCTTTCAAACTAGACTCACCTGCAACCCAGCTAGCTAGGTTGGGTGGGAGGAAAATATATTAAAATATGTTATATGAAGGTACAACCTGCCAACACTATAAAAAACCCCATAATTTTCTGTCTTGATCTGGGCACGTGCCCACCTTCATCGGCAAGCATAGGTCACAACCAAGAAGTCTGTGGACTGGGCTTGTTTTATAGGCTAAACTTTGGCCATCCCTGACAGTGATTCAATGTACAGATTGAACAAAATTTGATGATTATTCTTAAAACATGCATTTTCACCATGTTCCGTCAGCTGTCCTGCCAGAATCTGCCAATCACTGGAACAAAACCAGAAAATTAGCAAGTACTAAAATTTCCTTTTCAAGTTATATTCTGCTACTCTAGATGTGTAGGTGTAGAGCCTCCCTATCTGCAGATGGAGACAGCTGTACTTGTGTTCTGATGTTGCTATCCTTTATAACACTAGTAAATTTCCATCACAGAATCTAGATAATCTCCACATGGTTGAGCCTTGTTCATTTTTAGTGCCTCCATGTTATTGAATTTCTATATTTACAGATCTGTCCATTAGTTTAGATATATTTAGTTTATTGACATTACCAAACAAATGCTCTTCTGGTCTTAACTCTGTATCTTAGGTTATATCTTGCTAGGGAGCTGCATAGCACAAAACATCCATTCACTTCAGTGAGATGTGTATGTAGTATGACTATAGGAATGGTTCCTTTAGTTATTGACTAGTTTTGTGATACTGTCAAACCAAACTATGAACAGTTGTGGGCTTATATGAAATAGTCATAAAACGTATAAACAATACGTCTGGACAGCAAGTTAAGAAGGTGTCAGGAATGAAGGCCTGCAGCTAAGCATGGGACTACCTAGCTCACTCTCCAGGCAGATTAATGAACACAGGCCAGCTATATCAGAATTGCCTGATTGGCTGAGGGGAACCAGCAGCTCAGGCTTTCGGTCTCAGGGTTCGAGTGCAGGGCTGGTGATAGGGAGACCCAGGCCCACCCTGCTCCAGTGGATCACAGCCCAGAGACCTAGAAGTGACAGGTGAACCCATCGCAGGGTTGATGGGAAAACATGGGGTCACTGCCTCACCTCTCAGCACCACAACGGGACCAATGTCTCATTCTCCTGGGCTACCTCCTACCAGCATCTGGTGGGGCTGCTTTATGGCTGCAGAGACCTGATTTCCCAGTCTCTGTACTGAGCAACCTGCTTTCCTCTCCCTCTGCAGGATTTTCCATCTCCTGGGGCAGCCGTTTGTCTACTCTCCAGGTTGGCTCAGGGCAGTTGTCACCTGCCACAGCCGGTCATGGGCTCCGCTGGCAGTTCTGCTCCCTGGGAGAGATGGCTGGCTCCAACTGAGTTGCAGGGCCCTGTTCTTATACCTACTGCCCCACCCCCACACTTCCTGCGAGGGGGGTGGCACGGAATTAGCTGAGCCCAGTAGGGTGATTTAACCCCCTTCTGTACTGGAATGAGGCCACTCTGCCTCATTATGGGGCCGAACTGAAAAATCTGGAAAAAAAGTTCAGTCTGAACCTAAACTGATTTTTCCCCACTTATTCTTGCTGAAACAAAACAATGTTTTTTCAGTTTTTTTATTTTTGTTTTTGGTTATTTGGGGTTTGTTTTTTTTACCTCCAAATTTTTTTTTTAAAAGCTCAATTTCTAAACAAAAGGCTGTTCCGAAATGAAAATTCAATATGTTTCATTCTGAAACCACTGAAACGAGCCATTTCAACTTAAAAAAAAAATCCAATTTTTTTCAGCTGCAATTATTCACAAATTCAACTCAAATTTATGAATAGATTTGGTGATCCAAAATATGCATTACTATTCATCCAAAAAAAAAAAAAAAAAGAAGCCACCCATCTCTACTTTTTTCACTGTGAATAAACAAACATATTTAAGACACCTCATGGCAGACAAGACCTGGATTCTATGTGGACATATATGAAAATGCTATGGGATCTTCATAAGAGTCTTGGCGAAAATTTCCCTGTGGTGCAGCATTTTGCGTGCCACCTGGCTACAATCCTGTCAATGGCAGTGTCTGTATATAGTTTATTAAGCGTTTTAGGCTCTTTTAGGATCAAAGGCATTCTATGAATACTTGGCTTTTCTGAGTCTACCTTAGGTTGCCACCTTACTAAAAACGTTGACATTTATGACACGGTGTAAAGTACATTGAATGTAGGATTTTCAAAGAAGCCTAAGGAACTAGTCATCCAATTTCCATTACATTTCAATGAGAGTTGGGCACCTAGATCTCATCGGATAATTTGGAGCTGGTTGAATTGGTTCCTTGTGAAAAAAATTAGTCCACAAACCTAATGTTTTGTTCTGTTTGCAAACAGATTATTACAGACTAATTCATTATGATTTTTACTAATTAAATTTGCTATTTAATCCTACAGTTTATGTGAATTAATTCCAGGTTATTGCTTGTTTGCAACCTATTCCTGTAGGTCCAGAACAAGGTCTGGGCACTGTTTATATCCTCAAAATAGGCCTTAAAAGATGCATAGGTATTGTGTTGGTCTTTGGCACTGGGGGCAATTTCCCACAAAAACGTAACTATTTCCCTACAGTATTTACAATGTGAGATTATACATACCATGAGAGGTGCAATACACATGCAGGAACTCTGGTTTGTAGAGCATAGATTATGTTTTAAAATAAATAATTTTAATTTTGTCTCATAAAAATCCAAAAATGTTAATTCTCATTTCTCAGATTTTAATGATGGTAAAGAAATTCACTTAATAATCCATTCATTTTCGGCTTCTAGAACCATTGTGTTGTATCGCCTGATCCCTAAAAATATATATAGCTATGTTATACCAAGCTGTCATCTGTCAAAGTTGAAATCCAAATCCATTAAAGAACTGCTCAGTAACGGATGGATCTGCTAGAAAACCTGCTAAATTCCATACCACCCAAGCAACAAAATAAGATTCAGGAAAAAGAGAAAGGCAATATCACAAGACTAGCATTTCTTCACAAAACATAACATAACCATATCTGATTAAATATGAATTATAGCTGATGTAATACAATGTAGCTTTCAGAAAAGTGCTAACAAAGAACAAAAAGAATGTACCTTTCCAGATTGAAAGTAAATAGGAATATAAAATTAATTTTAAGGACTGTAAAACTAATTGGAGGTGAGAGACT